CCCCCCCCCCCCCCCCCCCTTCCCCTTTCCCCGTCTCGAACGGAACCCGTAGCACGCCGTTCCCTCTCACTTCCACCCTTACACTCGAGCTTCCGCCAATCTCTATGGAAGTAATCCTATCTGCCATTGCCAGAAAGAATTTTTTTGCAAATCGTGTATGATACCGGCCGAGCCAAACGGAGCCAGGTTTGGGTAGCTGCCCTATCTCCCGCTTTATATATGGGGTGGGTTGATGTGATGCGGGGTGCGGTGGTGTATTCGTTGTTGCGACAGTGGAGTAGGTAATGAACTGGGTGTCGTGTGCAAGAAGACATTGTTCGGATGCAGTCTGTGTTTCATCCCTTAGCTGTAGAAGTGCGCCAGATTGCGCGGCCTTTCGTTGGTACTGAACTGGGGTTGCGCAGCGTTTTCTCTGTTGCAAGTATTTAGTTCTTTTTGCAATGGAGGTGCTTCGGAGTTACATATTGCCCCGTATTTTTTCGGGACTGGAGACCAGTGAACTGCTCAAGGCGTCCAGAAGCCCAACAAAAGTGGCTGCTAACTCGGGAATCTGAGAAGCTAGAAGACTGAAATTTTGAGGGGGTGTTCCCTGACAGCCCTGGCAGCTAGTCTGACATTCTTTCAGCTAGAAGCATCTACCGGAAAAACCAGTGCCGTTAGCTCGTCAGCGCTGCACTACATCCTCTTCCTTTTTATGTCGAGCCCGCACCACTTTGGTATTTTCTTAGGGTTTCGCGTTTCTACACGTCTTTTATACGTCGAAACGTCTCGTGATTACTGTGCGGTGGCTGCTTCACTTATTGATGGTCCTGACGTACAACCCCCTCCCCTTTCGCCTCCATCCCTTTTCCTTCCTGGCTTCCACTTTTCTCGGGGACGTGAATCGTTCCACTGCTTCTATAGTTTTTGCACTGCGACCGCGTCATACTGACGAGATCCTGCTGCGTGGTGTCGAGTTGAGGCGTACATGACTTAATGGACCGAAACGTCTTATCTCTCGCTCTCTCTCTTATCTCCTCATATTGTATTCTGTCGGGCCTTTCATTTTTCTCGGAATTGAGAATCGTTCCATTGCTTCTGTGGTTCCTGAACTGCGACCGTCATACTGACGAGATCCTGTTGCGTGGTGTTGAGTTAAGACATATATGACTTAATGGACCGAAACGTCTTATCTCACCCTCGTCTTCTCTTATAATCTGTCGGGCCTTCCCCATTTAGGCTTCCTGGGTCAACCTGGTTGCTACAGTCGGCTTACAACGGACTACCCTGCGTTTGCTTTTAACGTTTTTCACGTTTTTACTGGGCGTGCGTGGTACAGAACTCGTTTTATAAGTTGTACTCTAAGTTAGTAATCGTTTTGGGGCAACTGCCTTGTTCTCGATCATTGCTATGTCTGCTGTCTACGATGTTTGTCGGGACCAAGTCTGTTGCAGTCTGTCGCGTAATATATCAAATAATGATTAATGGTTTTTGTTAAAAATAGATTAAAGATCAACTGCGTTACTATGACGCAGTACCCCTGTCCAAGGTTTTAAACTTTGAGCACTCTACCCTCACTAAACTTTCGGTCTTGGTCCCCTGGGGTTTAAAAGCGCTTCTCCTCATCGCCGGGATCTTCATTGTTTTATGTATCCTGCCCGCTGCACCTATTTTATTTTAACTATACTCCTATTCTGGGAAGCCGAAGCTCCCCAGAGCCTTACCACGTTTATTTGTATTCTCGTTTAACATGTATTCACGCTTTATTAATAAATATATAGGACGCGACGTTTTACACACACATACAAACGGGGCACACACTAGCCTAGTAAATTAACAATTAGGTTCGCGATAAGTCTTTAGGGCAAAGCAGGATTCGTTTACCAGACAGAGGGCGTTTTTTAACTGTAGTAACCCAGGTCCAGTGGATTTTCTGGGTAAAGATACCCGAGGCGTCGACCATTTCTTCCTCGAGCCAAATTTTTAATGGTAGAATTCTGTGCTGGTGGGCACGACTTAGCGTTATTGTCATGCAGTAGGTCGGGGGTTCCGTTCCTGCACAGGGGAAGCCAGTCTGTATGATTCGTTCATTCATTTCGATGGTAAATTGGTACTGGTACCAATCATCAGCTTGCTTCTAAGCAGTCCTCGAAAGATGGAATCATCGACAGCCTTGCCAGCGGGTAACTGCACCTTTTTCCAACCAGAATAATTCTGTGTTTACAGCTAAGGAATGAAACACACAGACAGACTGCATCGTAAAATGTCTTTTTATACATGACACTTAAGCCAAATCCTTCTACTCTACTATTCAGGCATCTGCTCCTCTCAAAGCGATGTTGAATTTCGTGGCAGTTTTTTAATTGAAATATCCCTGATGTGCAGTGTGTGTTTGCTTGCAGATGTCAGCTCTCTACACGTGCTCGATTAGTGGTGAGCCGGCGGATGTGCCGGTGGTTTCGCCGGTCTCCGGTCGGATTTTCGACAAACGACTTATTGTGAAATATATCAATGAGCATGGAACCGATCCGTTCACGAACGACAAACTTACCGTGGACCAGGTTGGTGCTTATTCGAGAAACAGTGGCTGGATGCCTTCTAAAATTTCGTGGATTTGTGTTTTTTAAAAGGTTAAAAACTGCGGGTTTTTTGTGGATTTTTTCAAAATTTTCTTGAATCTTTTGATTGCTGTAGATACTGGGATGCGGTCGATTTCACAGCTGAAAAAGGTGATCTTCCTAGTATCTGTTGATTCCTTTTCAATGGTAAATTAGTATTTTCCTATGTCAGGGAGACAGAACCGTTTTCATTTTGTGCATAAAGAAATTTCAAAAAAAAAATGACCAATATCTGTTCCAGCGTTATCAGAGGACCCGTCCAAGTAGGTATTAGTGAGCTCAAACCCAGCCCTCGGGTAAACGTGTTACCCGCATACGAGCCCATCAAAATTTTTTTCGGGTAAGTTCATAACTCGGGGATGTGAGAAGCTAGAACGCTGAAGTCTTAGGAGGATGTTCCCCGTCGAAGTGGGTATTAGCGAGCTCAAACCTAGCACTTGATTTAACTTTGACCGCTTTCACATGCCTGCATCCCTCTGGAATGGAGAGTCTTAGAGAATTGGCGCTGGAACAGACACATAGTTCGTGAATCGTGATGCTTGCTTGCGTAGTTTTGCGTCAGACATTTTAAGTTATGCAGGGCTGA